TTAAAACCAAAGGATAAAATGGTAAAAAATGGAATGGACCTAAACAGAGAGAGTTCGAAGGTTGTTAGCAGAGGTTTAGGTATTAGACGATGAAAATCAGATCGAGAAAAATAGTGACTTGAATCTGACACAAATTGACGGAATTAGTTGTATGGATGGTGAGCAGAGGCAGCGCTGCTAAAATACGCCAAGAGGGACATAAAGCTACTGATGTTGGAAGAGAGGAAGAAAAGAAATGGAGGATTTGGGGATTTTGCAGCAGAGAGAGATTTTGTTTAGAAGAGAGACGAGATATTTGAGGAGTGGTTGTTAATTTATAGAATTAGACTTAACTTAAAACCCATGGGTATGTGTGGAAATATCAAGACTACCATTGAATTGTTTCCTTGACGAAATTACCCTTGTCTAAATACAAATTGGTAAAGTTGGTGAGTTGTTTATGGTCTGGGGGCCAAAAATACCATTATTTTTGTCATAATGTTCTTGACTTTTATAAACTTTGTATCTAAATATAGCAGCTATGAATGAGTTTCTGCATAGCAATTCTAACACCAATTAATTTTTAGGTATAATGATTTAGCTGTAACTTTCCCCAAAATAAATATTGACAATCCATAGGCCAAGATCTATATTGTTGAGATTTAATGTAAAATTTTACATTACTTGCAAGGTTGTGGACTGAGTTATCTGCCACAATGGATGTTTGATTATATTATTTTACTCAATGATCGTAAAACAAAAACTTAGGGTATGTTTGATTTGTCTGGGAAATAGATTTCTCACATGCATATATTTGGGAAATAAGTTTTTTATAAAATGACTATAGTACTATTTGAATCATTGAAAAATCATGTAAACATGTTTATAACTGTATACAATACATATCATCCGAAATCGACTGTCTTTCAAAAATAAGCATATGAATCCATGATAGGTATTTAGCCTGATTAGTGGCATGTTTGGGCAGTTTGGCCAATGTTGTTGTTTATATTGTTTTATATTTGAATTATTGGACGCCTATTATTAGTATAAAGTTTATTTTTATCAAAAATAAATA